AGGGGATCCGATTGCGATCATCTATATTCCCAGTGCAACCCTCGCGCGGTATGGGGCTGGAGTCGCGGCTAATGGGACTTTCATGGTCTTTGACGTGATCCCGTTCTATGAGGTCAAGTCCATTTGGATTGGCAAAAGCAATGGAGGGAAGCGCCTGGAGTACGCTGACATCAAGAGGGCGTACTCGAAGTGTGTGGAGAATGAGATCTGCCCTGGCTTTGTCAACTCATCCCAAGAGTCGGCTGCGATGTTCCTCCAGAACGTTGCAAAGATCAGCGAGAGGATGCCGGAGACTGAGACAGGTGCCGATAATCTGCACTACATCGTTGACATGGTTAATCGTGCTTGCGAACTCTATCGAAACAACAAGATGGAAGAGTTCAACGCACAGGTCAACGAGGTCCGGGACGAAGTCAGCAAAGTCGTCATCCTGAATGATGAGACATGGGAAGGACTGAGGTGCCGGATATGTCCATCATGTGCGACCGCGATCCCTACCTGCTTCTGCTTATGCCTGGAGTGCGAGGCACAACTGATCTCCATCGGAAGATATTACATTCACATCAAATCCGATGACGAGGAGGACAACCAGAACCCCAACGTCTCTGGAGATGCCAGGCGTGCACAGGAAGAAGCTAACCACGATGCGGCAGCACAGGAGGATGAGGACGAAGCGGAGGAAGTTCCGGGAGAAGATGACGACATGGACACGCAAGGATATACATCCGGCTATGCGTCAGAAGAAGAAGACGGCGGTTGGCATTACCGCGACACCGATCTGGCGTCACGGGACATTATAAGTTCCCAACGGATGGCGATCTGCCTTGACGAGCCGCGTGAGGCTCAGTACATGGCAGGATTTATCGCACTCCAGATGTCCAAGATGTGGGGGATGTTCGAGGGTGGTGAGGAGAGAACGATGAATGCCAAGCTCGAGGGGAGAGAGGGCTGCCCTTACCACAATGATTTCAAGAGGTACCCCAACATCACTGAGCACGATCAGGAAGGTATACTTTTGCCATCAACAATAACGAAGATTTCTCAATCGGAGAATGTTCGGACAAGAGCCTTCCGATCGGTTGAGGAGCGTGACGAATATATTCGTATGATGGTGAACAAATGCGAGGGACTATACACATTCTACAAGCTGTGGATTGCAGCAAGATCCTCGATGTCACCAAGGAAGAAATGAAGCTCCTGGTCAAGGACCGAGTGCACCCGGTGGGTGATATTATTTTCAGATGTTTTGCACTAGCTTTCAACTGCAAGTATATATCATTCGTGAGGGATGGCCTAAACCTTGGCAAGCATGGTTACGCGGTCAACGTGAGCGCCATCATCTCGGCCATCGACCCGAACAAATGCGACACACCCCTGCTGGATTGGTGCCTTCGGAAAGGGCACTGGTTGCCAGAGGACTACAACAAGAAGTGTGTCCGGGCACGAGAAGCCCAGAAGAACTTGGACGAGGAGTTCCGCCGACGTACCCATAGGCTGTCCATTGGGGACAGGTATGCTTCGTGAAGATGATGATTGCGGTACGATGTGGGCCAGTCCCCATCTGTTACTTGCGTCACATCGACACTGTTTCGGTGGAACGACTTATGTCATGATTTATATTCATGTGTCCAAGATGATTGGGTGTGTACATGGTTACATATTCCGATGACTATGACGCTCTGGATATTCATGGATGGAACTATTACCTTATAGATGATATCTTTTCATTATTTATGCATTGTCCATGGTATCTGGAATGGCTATGATTTGCATTGATTACTCACCGATGTTTCTTTGCCGGAGATATGCAGACCGATCACAAGCGGGCGCGCATGGTGGACATTTGTGGCCAACCCATTTATGGATGACAGCTGCGCGATGCGCAAATGCGGCAGCTGGAATGTTCACTGGCGGTCAAGTGAAGTGGCCACAGTGTATTATATATACACCTGCATATGGATGTGTGCTTCGATTGGAGGATGAATGTTTCACTTTTCGTACAATCGAACCCGGCATGTTTCACAGCGAATGAACGGTGTAGTGATAGCAAGTAAAAGAATGCACGACACGATTTCGTAGTTGAAGCCGTGGCCAGTGGAACGTTTTGTGGTGTTTGGACCGCATGATGAACAATGCGACCCAAATGGGGGATGTTAAAACCCTCTAGGCCCCGTGCCGAAATTGGGTAGCAGTTCTGAGGTCCTTGTTGGTGTTGCTTCCCAAGTTCCATTGATCGCCATTTGGCTCAAGACACAATTGAGGTTCAAGATCTGATGTGTGACTGCGGATATCCGTGATTGGCACTAGGAGGAAAACAACTGCCTCGCGCCGCACTGTCAGGACTACTGGTGTGACTATCATCCCTTCTTCCTTACAACGTTTACACGGGTTCGGCTATAACGGCAACGTCCGTATACACCTTTCTACGTGGTTGGTATTGAAGCTTGAGGGTTCGGTGCACAGCGTCCCACGGGACGTCACCTTGCCGTCTCTTGACATCTAGTGTGCTCAGTTTCGCTTCTTTCTCTACCAGTGAAGTCGCACAGATGCCCTGCTTGCCTGCGAAAGTCTGCTTGGCGTGGTGTACAACACGCTCCTCAAGTTTGCGCCTCTTTTAACGGCGAGCTCACTTTGGGGCAAAACCAGCCTACCGCCGGTTGACTTCGGGATCCCGTATGTCATATATTTGTAAGTTTCGGTAAACATTGCAGACACGCTGCAGAGTTGCAGCAGCGCCTTCCAAACATTGGAGCCGAGAATTGCCCACCTTTCAGGCTTGCCTTTGGGGTCCAGCAGGCTGGCTGTAGAAAGACTCCGGGTGACCATGGAACCGCACTTTTTTGGGGGTTCCAAAAGAAAAAGCCTCTGAATATGTAAATCCTTCTCAGATCCGAGGTATCTTGGCGGTACTGCTGGGCATTGGCGTATGGCTGGCTCAGCACGAGGCGGAACCCCAAGCCATGGGCTTGTGATGGACAGCTCCATTTCTTGCTTCTCAGCCATGGCGTTCCTCAGGCTTTTGGCTTTTTGGTAGTTGCCACCTAACCCACGAATTGTTTTGACTTTCGGCACCTCAGGTTTTCAGCTTTTTGGCTGGTTGAGTGGCTTCCACTAACCCCACTAAATGTTTGACTTGTAGCAGGGGAGCTGGGAACAGTCCAGGAGCCCGCGTTAACACCCGCTGATTGTCATCTGGTTGTCGGATTTGCGCAGACCAGGGTACGAGTGACAAGCTTTTAAGCCAGGCAACCAGTCAGCGTTGCTGGGCCAACCAGAAGGAGTAGTTGGCCAAATTGCGGGTGAATCTGGCAGATTGTTGATTGAGACTTGTTGAATATGAGCATCTGCAAGCTGCATGGATAAAACAAATCCTCATCGCAATCAAACTCCTAAATGGAGGCATCATTCAGCATTCAGTTGATTGTGCCCTATTTAAACTGGAGGCGTCTCCGAATTTCCGGTCGCATCTGTCTCCGGCAAAACGCAGGGGGCAGATCAGGCAAAACCTAGCTGTGGCCCAACAACCCCAAGAGTTTGTGTGATTATAGGGGTTGATTCCCCATTCTGTTCAACCATAGTTCTTTTAAAACACCGGCTGTTTCCCCTGGATTTTTGATGGTTTCCTGAAAAGAAGGACCCCTGGAAAGAAAGGAGAAAGTACCCCTAGAGTGATGAACTCGTGCACAAACCGCAGTTCTTTGGCTCGAGGGAGCGCAAGCCATCGTATCACGACGTCGTATCCCGACGTCCACATGGCTCGATTCAGCAAGGCGGAGGACACCGAGCATTCGAAGCTCGCGGGAGCTGAGGAGACGCCAGAAGCTTGTCAGCGATGCAAACGGTTTTGCGGAGATGGATATGGCTACGAGTGTTAGTGGAGAACCCCTGAAAAGTGGTTGGACCTGAGTTTCCACCGGAATGATGTCAAGGGTCCCCAGTTAAAATTCACACTATGCAAGAGAAGTGATCGCTCAAGCAAGCTTGATGCAAAGTGAGGTGTGGGTCACGACCATCCAATTGGTTTCTCGGAGTGTCTTGAAGGTCTGGCGATGTGGGAGGATCTCCCTCGGTTAAGAGCCCGCCCATATTGTCAAACCTGAGGAAAGTTGCCTTTTTGTTCAAGATGAACTGGGCGTTTTGCTTTCACATTTCCAATGGAAGAGAGGTTTGTTGACCATGACAAGAGTTCTGGCTGGCGACTGAGCTTCATTGACCCTGGATGTTGAGGGGATCCCCTTCTGTGACAAAGCCATGTGAATCCAAGCCCTTCACGCGCCCGGGTTGGGTGGTGTTGGGAACAGTCTCCTGTAAGTTGTCCCGGGCTTTGAGTTGTCCACAGTCAATCCCCCAAAACCGTCTTCTTGAAGGGGCAAAAGCCAAAGATTCCCTGCATTCCAAGCCACCTGATTCTGACCTCCATTTCAGATTTGCTTCATGGCTATGTTTGGTTCATGAGCAGTCATCAAAACACGGATCAGTTGGGTTGTGGGTTGAACAAAGTTGGTTCATGGGCAATGTGCAACCAACAAAATGACGGGTTGGGGGTTTGAGACAAACTAAACGGGAGGTTGGTTTTATGTTTTGAATTAACCAACGGGTGTATATATATATATATACATATATATATGTATATAGACAGAGGTTTGTATACACATGTTACGTATTGCACGGCGCCCTGCAACTTGTTATGTTTGCCTCAACCAAAAGGAAGGCTCAGTTGGCTGGGTGTTGAAACACAAAACTGTCCAGTCCAGTTTCAAGGGACTCCATCCATTACTTGACAGCCACTGCACACTGGCACGTGTGAAAGGTGTGGCCACATTCTGGTCCCAAAAATGTTAACCTTTGGCTTTCTGGGTGCTTTGGGCATCTGAGAGGAATTCAACCCCCCCGTCCCAACCCCAACCTCCCCCAACCCCCCATCCCCCCATCCCAGCCCAGGATTCCCCGCTGCGGGAGATCCCGCTGTCCTCGCTGCAAAAGCGCTCCTCGCCGCTGAGCCTCAGCCACGCGAGCCTGGCGCACGGCTTGGACAGCGCGCGGCGCCTGGACGCCTTAGAGTGGCTGGTGCCGCTGGGATGCAAACCATCGGGTCAACCGAGTCTTCGAGGGAACGGAGGGAAGGAGAGGGAAATAGTCCTTGAGGGGAGGGGGGGGAAAATTTGGGGGTGGGGGGAGGGGGGGCGAAATTTTGGGGCCGAAAGGGTTGGCTGGAGGAGACTGGTTTAAGCTTTAAGGTTGGTTTTAAGTCAGGTTGGGTTTGAGGTGGGTTTTGTTGCCAACAAGGATCTGAATCTCTCCACCCAAAAGAAGAGCAGAAAACGATGCTAGGAGTTGCCCCACCATCACAACAGCCCAAGACGGTCACAAATTGCTGATGATGACTCCGTGAGCTGCTTTAGGACACGTTTGTTGGGATCGGGAAGTCCTTCACAGTTTTCCAAAAATATGGACCCCTTGACCGGTCTTGAAGGGATTAGCCAGGACTTCCATTTTGCCGGGTCATCTTGCGTGGACGCGCCTCAGCTCCAAAGCCTTATGCATAAGACCTCCCGTCCCATCTGACAGGCACCCGCCACAGTGCATAGAAAAGAAATCTGGACCAGCAGCAAGAGGAAGCCATAGGAACGTGGAACTCAAAGTGGAGCGACTCCCAAAAGGAGATTCCGATCGAAAGCGCGCTTTGTTGGGTTTTATGTTAGCCGCTATTGGGGCTCCATCATTTCTATTCCCAAGCCAAAGGACACAAGATGAAGACTTGGCCGGGCCATTGTTTCGGGTCGGGTGCTACAGAATAGCACGTGCAGCGAATTTTCCCTTTGAAGTCACATTTTGTCCAGCATGCATTCAGTCTCTGGATCTCTCTTGACCTGCCCTACCTTTGAGCCCTGCCAGGCCACGTGTGCATATTGGGGTTTGGCCCATGGATGCCCAGGTTTGGTTGCAAGCTCGGGGTTCTTTTCCGCACGCCAAGACCATATTGGTGGCAAACAAACAGGTTGGACTTGTTTTGGCCAGTCAACTTAGGAAGTGAGGTTCTTTTCAGGATACCATTTCTTCTTTTTGCAGCAGCTGCGCAGGGTTTTTGCTCGGGAAACCGCAGGGAGACCTGTCCCTTTGGTCTGACACAACCGGGTTTTGACATTTCTCCGATGCGAGGCAAGCCTTTGATGCCCTGGACCTGGCCAACGAGCAGCTCTTCTCCTCCATCGGCCTGCTGGACCGCTATGCGGCCGCCAGCAACAGCCGGGGCCTTGGGGCATCTTGGGGCCCCCGGCAGCCAGAGAAGTGCGGAGAAAACGCCCAGAGGAGTCTTCATGGCTATCGGCGTTGGATCTTTGGACTTTAGCTTTTTGGGACATGCTATCGGGTTTCCGGTGGAACCCGCAAAGAGATTGTTTTTTTTTGCAGAAGGGGTCGACGGCGACCAAGGAAGCAAGCGAATGGGGCGTGCTGTTTGCAACTGATGAACATGGAATTCGCGGATCCTTGCTGAGGGTTGGTGCTCGCCCCAGGTTATCAACCTGGACCGAACAATGGACCAACATGCAGAAGCCGAATGGTCAGATTCGGCGGGGCAAGTGAATGTCTTTTTCAGGCAGTGGCGGCACACTTGCTTTGAGCAACTCTCAATTAGGTCCCCCGGCCCTCAAAGCTAAACAACAGGTATGTTGATCAGCCAAAAGTTCAAAAATGTTTGGAGGGGGACGCCCAACCTGGGCCGGGCAGGTAGTTTGATAGGAGAGAGGGCCAGATGGCACCCTGGTAGGTCCATTGAATCGGTGCTTCGGAGTGCGTCCTGCCCCCCTCTGGCAATCTACCAGGACGATGTCCACATAAGACTATGTCGCAAGAATATGCGATTTCAGCGTATCAGGGCCTCAAAATCTACATATGAAGCATTGCTTTTGGTGTGCCCTGGGCCTTGGCTCAACGTAGACCCAAGCCCCCCTTCGGGGTCCCAACGCCTCAGGCCCCATCGCTGCGGGGCCGGGGGCATTCGCACTCGTGCTCGCCGCCATGCTGTGCCTTGGATGGTTTAAGGGGGTGTTCAGACATAAATATGTCAGACATATCAGGAAACCCTTGGTGGGTGGTTTGGATTGGTGGGAACTGGATTTGGATTTGAAGCCCTAGTTCTTGTACAGGGTAAATGGGAACCCCCCCCCCTTAACCACCAAACCACCAATGAGAGCGAAGCTGGATGCTCCTGAGCAACAATTTCACACATTTGTCCCAAATAAACAGGAGAAAGAAAGGAAGAAAAAAAGAAGCGCTTCTTTCCTATTTCCAACCCCGCCTTTTCGTGATGATCCCCAGCCACAAAAGCCTGGAACTCTGTTTTGGTGGTTCCGCGGACTTCCCACAGATGCCTGCGGGCCGATATCCCAACGTTGGTCGCAACTCGTTTCCACCAGGGCTGGTCATAATAAGCTACACTTCGGAAGGTGTTCGGGAACTTTCGCCTAAACAAGCAAGCATGCAAAGCACACTGCAACAACTAAGCAATACGTTGTTCTTATTTGAGGCTCTAGGTGTGTATATATATATAATGTGTTCATCTTTTTTTGTTCTTCATTGTTTTTTTGTTTTTGCTTCCCGTCTCTTTTAATGGAGGTGTACATAAACATATCTATACATAGCAACATTGCAATGTTGTGCTTTGGGTTTGCAGCACGCAACAGTTCTGAGTCATCAGCAAGAACAGAACGAGGCACGCTTCACGTTCCAAGACCCCATACCTTTTGAGAATCCGGGCCCCTACCAAAGGACTCCCCGCAGAAATGGATCGACGGGATGTTTGCGTGCTTCGACTGTCAAAGCACCCAGGATCGCCTTGAAAGTAGGTGGCTTCAAGAAGGATCTCGCTCCTTGGCCAGGGGTATCAGGATTCTACCGGAGAACCCTGCGTGACATAGGTAATGTGTCCAAATAGTCTTTTTTGAACACCAGTCGCAATTTCCTATTAGCGTCAACTTTAAAACTATCCCAGAAAGGGACCGTCAACAAAACCTACAACACTTGCGAACAGTTGGAAGATATGTCATTGCAAAAGGCGGGCCCTTTTGATTGTGGTCTTCCGTTTGATCTCGCTTTAAAGCCACTCAAACAAGCCGCACCCATGTCATAGCTAGTCGCATCATGTGAAGCGGAAGGCATCAGAATCAGGATCCCGAAGAAGTATTGGCCATGAGGGCTAGGTGCAGTCCTTTTTTCCTGGCTACCCCCTATCCGGGCAGATTAACATGGAACCCCCGGAGCATCGGCACAGGAGCTTCCATTGGGCCGGTCGCCCTTTCAGAGTTCCAAGTAAATTTGCAGGCTAGGTTGCTCAAAGTCAGTCCCTAATGATCCCAGATGGCAGTGATTTCCTTTGTGCCAGCCGGATTTCGCATTAGCAATGGGGACCCCCCATTTTGAACGATCCAGTGTATTGAGCGTGGGCAAAGCAGAGAACTGCTCGAGTCCAAGGCTAGAATCTTCGGGGACCCATTTGATGGGTTCCAGGCTACTTCTTTTCCTCTTGTTTTCGTGTGTTGGTGTTTGTGCCCGTGTTTGTGTTTTTTCAGGGTACCCTATTTGGGGGTGGGCTCAGACTCTTTTCTCACCCATATGTTTGAGACATACTCAATCTCCAGGGTGATTTTCCGGGCAAAGTCGCCAGAAATGCCCAGGAGTGCGCCCGGCAGCTGGTGGTGGAGGTTTCCGGGAGCTCCCGGCCCTGGGCAGCGGTGCGCAAGGCGAGAGTCCAGAAATGTTGGGGGGATACTAGGGGATGGGGTGCGGTTGCGGAAGTGGGAGTTGGGGCGTGGAGTTGCTGGTGAATGGGGCGAGGTTGGGGTGGGTTGAGGGGTGGTTTGTTTCAAGGTACCCTCTCACCTTTTTTCGGAATGAACCTGACGTTCGAAGGTCCCTGTAAAAGGAAAATGGTCCAGACACCTCCCACCTTTTTACAGAAGGAAGCGTTCAAGGTTTAGGGGAAATGGTGGCTTGGACCATCGTCCATTTAAAAGGGACCTCACGTTTTGAACGTCAAGTCCCATGTTAATTGGTGGGAGGAGACCTCACTTCCTGAGCTCCCGGACTTGATACCCAGGAAGTGCGGTACTCTTCTCAGGTGAACCTGGCAAAACCCGCTCACTCGTTGACTGGTGGGGCTTTCCAGAAGTTCCGCTTGGGGAAGAGGTGCTTGTGTTTTTGAGCCGTGTTTTTGTTTCATGCTAACCAGCACGAATAGCACCATGTTGGGGTCTAAAGTGACGCATACCCAATGGTATCCATGTGTTTCCCGAAAAAAGAATAAGTTGTGGGGCCATGTGCGGTAGAGGTTCAGGTTCCAACATGTTTGAACTTGAAGAACACGGACGCGTCCAACAACGGGAGAGGGGGGTGGGTAGGGAGTGAGCTTTGGGCGGTTGGTGGATGCATGGCTATGCTGCCAAGCTCGAACTAATGGTCATAGCTTTTGTCCCAAGGAGAGGTGCATGGCATGATTCGAAGAGATATCCAAGTCGGCTCCCAGTTGTCCAAGCGACGGCCGGATGTCATTGGAGCAGACCATTTCTGCTTCTGAATTGGGGTTCAGTAAAATCGGATTGGCAAAACCTGCCTTCGGCCCGATTGGCACTTCTCCCAGATGCGCTTCCACCCAGTTGCGCCGCGGCAGCCCTTTCCTCGGGTGTCCCTTTGAAACCAATCAACGAAAAATAGTGTGTGCTATGTTTTTGTTTGAACGGCCTCTCCGTTTTGTTTACAGATTGGCTTCCATGCCTCCCAAGAGCAAGAGTTTGACTATCACTTTGGACTGGGCAGATCCGCCAATTTGTCCTGTTCCACATGTTTGGACTGGTCCAAGTTGTCCTTCTTTTCTTCGCAGTTTGGGTTCCGATGTTTATGCTACATGTCTCCCTAAGAACATGTTTTTTGAACAAAACAAACAGCACACGTTTTGCCCGGGCTTCTTTTGCCCATTTCTTTCTTGCTGGTGCTCAGCAGGGTCCCTGAGAAATGGAATGACAACGGATGGTGTTTTTTTCTTTTTCTTTTTTTTCTTTTTTTTTCCGGGAACCAACAACGCCAAGGTTCATTCCATTTCTCATTCCCTACCGCACCGATCACAAGTAAGCTGAACACTTGGTCGTTTCGCAATGGTTTTGCTCGGTAATGTTTTGCAGGAGGCTTGAGGAACTCACTCCCTACCTATCGCAGCAAGTTATGGAATGCGAATGCCCGAAGGGGTGGGGGGGTACAAATGGCTGGATTGAGGGGTTGCGGTTAACACTTGTGTTAAAAGTAACAACCGATAGCGGAAGGCATTTGAATCACACTCAGATTCGAACCTTGAGTGCCTGCAGGATGACACTGCTTGATTCATGC